GTAGAATGACCACAGTCCCAGATCTCGAGCTGTAGTTTGTTTGCTAGGAGCGGCCGGCAGCACTGGAGTTCCGGCACTGTGAAGCTGCTGTGCGCCTCTTTATCCTTCTGCTCCACTGTGGCAGGGTTATGGCGGCGTTTGGGGGAGTGCCCGAAAGGATTGGGTTTTCTCAGCCCCGATCTCGGGTTGGGGTACAGACAATATGGTCTGTGGCAGATTCTGCTGGCCGCCTTTTGCCTCCTCCCAAGAGGGAGTAGGGATTTTGAGCTGGGTGCGCAGCTTCTCTCCGTGGGTGGCGGGAGCTCAGTTGTGATGGCGGCGGGTACCCGCGGTCAGCTAGACCTTCCAGGAAAAGATTGGGTGACCCATGACCAGTCTGGCAACTTTCCTTCCCTGTGGGGTTTTTTTTGCGCCTGGGGCTCCCAGCCTCAGGCACCTGTGTGCCCACCAATCAGCCTGGGAAACTGATCGGGACAAGCAGGCTTGCGGCACCAGCCCGGAGCCCCAAAGCTCATGTTACCCGGGATCTCTTCTGGGTTCTGGCTGGGAAGCCGAGAGTGGACCTGACCGCTTCCCACGCCGTGGGAGCCTCCCCTCACCTGGGAAACACGATAGCTGTTGTTTTAGGGCCCAGAGTTCAGTCTCCTTGTTGCTGCACGGAGTGTGTTGTCCTGATTCTCAGACACTGTGTTCTCCTGGCGCCGCCATCTTGGTCCCTCTTAAGATCTTTTTAAAGTCCATGTTTCCTTAGTAGAATGAGCTCAGGGAAATATGTTATAATGTTGACTATATTTAAAAAAATCTATTTTTAGTAGTCCTATGGTATGGTTTGAAGCAGAAAGCTCTAATTAGAACACTCATGTGGAAGGATCTACTCCAACGGTTTATTTATTTCTCAAAGGCTTTGCTTCTGAATACATCTTGTCAATGGTCAGGGATTCAGCACATTAATTTGGATGGAGGACAAAAACACTCACCTCATCGCAAGGAGGAAGTATGTTTTTGATGAAGGGATCAACACGGTGCTGGGCACAAACAGAGCCATTTTCCACTATGTGAAGAGAAGCAAAGAAGCCAGCATGTCTTTAGTGCTGTCATACAAAACACATAGCTTTGTATCAAGATGAAATCAGAGATGCAGTTGGACGAGAATGGGGATGGCTATAATGGCACACAGAGAAGTGAATCATCAAGAATTCGTGAATCATTGTAAATCCACTGAGGGAGCAGGGAAAGCAATGAGCAGAGAGCAGCATGTAAATGAGATTTGGCAGACTGACATGTGAACAACAATCCAGAGAGAAGGCAGGACAAGGATCTGACATCATCCAGGAGGCCCTAGCAGGCTGGAGGGGATATCTGAAATTTTTCACTATGTGGTAGGTGTAGGGACGATAAGTATTGATCAGATCACAGGCATGGTTTGAATGTAGAATTAAGAAGTGTATCAGATGTAGATTAAGAGCACAGAGAGGAACTTAAGATACTTCCTGGGCTCTGGGACGTAACTAAAAAGACAGACTTATGTCTGACAAAATTCAAAAGAGGAATACAACTGAAGGGGAAAAACTGTTTGAATACTTCAGGGTAGACCTTCCAATGAATGTCATGACGAGCCATTTAGCAACTTTATATGAAGGGATTTGAACTGTAGGTAAAATTTTCACAGTTTTTTTTTAAATTTATATATTCTCTTTACAACCAATCATAGCTCCCTCCCTCCTCTCCTCCTGGCTCCCTTCCTGCCCTCTTCCCCCATCTGCCCTTCCCTGCTCCTCATCAGATGGGAGCTGCCCCCACCAAACTACCCAGCACAAAAAGTTGCATGAGGACTGAGCTCATTCTCATCCACTGAGCCCAGGCAAGGCATCCGTTTGAGGGGGAAGTGATCTAAAACAGGCAAAAGAGTCCATGTCATAGACAGCACCGGCTCATCTCACTAGGGGACCCTAGGAAGATTAAACTGCCCGCGTCCAGTCCATGAATACTCCTTGGTTGATTCTTTCATCTCCGCGAGCCTCCATGGGTCTAAGTTAGTTGACACTGTTGGTCCTCTTGTGGAGTCTCTGCCCCCTCCAGGTCCTTCCAGCATCCTCCAGCTCTTTCACATGACTCCTCAGGCTCCAACTGCTGCTTGACTGTGCGTCTCAGCATCCTATTCGATCAGGTGCTGGGTGGAGCCTCTCAGAGAACAGTTATGCTAGGCTCCTGTCTGTAAACATAGCAGAGTACCATTAATGTTACTCTGCACATCTTGTAGGCAGGATATATTTTGGGTAGAAGGTGGTTTGGTGTTCCCTTCCCATCCCCATAAGTCCTTCCTGGTTAGAAGGTGGCCTTCTCAGTCTCCATGTCCCCTGCTACTAGGAAGCTCAGCTAAAGACATCCTCTTACCCTCCCTGTAGCCTGCCCTGTTGCAGGTCTCCAGCTTATCTCTGAGATGCACCTGCCCTAGGTTTCCCTTCTCTTTCTAAGCCTTCTCGCCTACCCTCCCCATACTCTCCATATCTGATTGAGTGTGTATTTCATTTAAAACCCAGGACTCAAAGTCAACATGGGAATGGTTATATATTTAAAAGGTGAACTTGAACAGGTCATCAGATCAATCTATCCTCTTAGAATTAACAATACAAACAATATCTCTAGCCATAGTATAAGGCTTCCTAGAGACCCATACTGAAAAAAAATAACTCTCATCAGAATAAACTCACATGATCTCAGGATCTTCCTTGCAGTTCTGTGTGGATGGTGAAATCAAGCAATGTCTTGCTTATGTCCCGCCACCATCAGGCATCTTCCATAGATTCTTAGTATGAATTCTTCATGTCCATGTAGACTCCTTGTGCTCATCTCTACCTAGGATTTTTGTAAAGCAAATGGAATACAATGACAGTACAATTCATCTACCTGCTTATTTATTGGATGGCATGTTCTTTTGCTATTGGATATTTGTGCTCTTTATATATTCTGGGTATTGCTCTCCTGTGAGACAAATAGCTGAAGAAGGATTCTCCTCATTCTGTATGCTATCTCTATTTTATCAATTATTTTTTTGGCGGAAGGCTTCAGCTTCTTGCAATTCTACATGCCATTTCTTTCCATTATTTCCTAAACATCAGTCCTACATAGAAGGTTGTTAAATATGCCAGTATCTTAAAGTGCTTCCCCTGTTTCTTCCTCATAGACATGTACAACATGTGGCCCAACAAAATTATAAAGTTATTTAAAACATATGAGATTTTTTTCTTTTTTTAATTATTTTTTTATAAGTTACAGTTTATTCACTTTGTATCCCAGCTGTAGCCTCCTCCCTCATCCTTTCCCAATCCCACCCTCTATCCCTCATCTCCTCCCATACTCCTCCCCAAGTCCACTGATAGGGGAGGTCCTCCTCCCTTTCCATCTGACCCTAGCCTATCAGGTCTCATCAGGACTGGCTGCAATGTCTTTATCTGTGGCCTGGTAAGGCTGACTCCCCCTCAAGGGGAGGTGATCAAAGAGCCAGCCACTGAGTTCATGTCAGAGACTGTCCCTGTTCCCCTTACTAGGGAACCCACTTGGAGACTGAGCTGCTATGGGCTATGTCTGTGCAGGGGTTCTAGGTTATCTCCATGCATGGTACATATGAGATTTTTGCTCATGTGATTTTTGTTACTTAATTGGGAGATTGTCAAGCATGAACTTTATAGACGACAAGTTCATGTCACAATGTCAGAGGTTAGCCTCACCTGTTCGTTTCCAAGTTGTGGGATATTAAGTTCTTTGATTTAGTTTGAGTTGATATTTGTACAGGCTGAAGGGTAGGAGTATAGTTTTCATTTTATATACTTGAATATCCAGTTTTTCTCAGCACCGGCTGTTGCCCTATGTCATGAAGATCCTGTAGTTTTCGATCTGTAGAACTGGCTCGTTCAGTTCATGCACTCCAGAAGTTCATGAAGAAGTAGATGTTGGGATGAAAGTTCAAATCACTGGTTCTGGGCATAAGCGGTTTCTGAGCTGGTCAGCCTGACAGCTCTCTTGTGTACACATCCTTGGGGCCAGCTCACGTGCAACCTCGACATCTAGAGCCAGCTCTACTGTGCTGCCCAGGCAAGGTGCAGGGTCTGCTCTTCAGAGTGCCTTAGCAGGAGAGGGACAGGATCAGCTCTCCTGGTCTCATGACCCCAGGGCCAGCTCTCCCACCTGGCATAGATGGAGGGAAGAGACTGGAGGAGTGTGTCTCCCCCGACTCACACTGCCACAGCTTGGAAGACAAGTTGAAGGGCCAGGTCTTACACACTCACATCCTGAGGCTGACTCACCCACAACTCCTGCAATGTGCAGAGTTTAGTCTCCAGAATACTGCAGCTGGCGAGGGGACGAGGTCAGATCTCTTGCTGTCATTCCCCAAGGGCCTCCTCTCCCAGGTGAGGAATTGGGCCAGTTATGCACAGTCTTCACACATCAGCATGTCCCTGGGTGGCAGTCAGACATTCAGCTGGCCTTTGGTGGTAGCAGACCCCTCCTGCTGCAGAGCCATGGACTCAGACATGACCCCACATGGCGACACAGGCCAGGACCACACCATGGTCCCAGGTAGTATCACTGGTTACTCACAGCAGGCTGTTCCTTACTACTGTCTCTGTCTTTCGGCACTGTGTCCACATCCTGATGTTTCTCTCTCTTCCATTTTCCACCACTTACTTGCTCCTTAGTGTTGCCCAGGGTCTATGAGTGTCTGGGGATGTCTCAGAAGTGGTCTTAGGAATGCTATGTTATGTTTGTGCATCATGGCACTGGGTAGGGGTCATCTTGGGCATCTTCTTCCCCACCCTTGGCCTGCACAGCACCGAACTACTGGTCATCTCAAGCTGGCTCCCTGTCTGTGGCCCACATCGCCTGTCTAATGGTGGTTTCAGACTTGCTCCTTGCCCTGCCCTCCAAAGTGGACCCATGTGAGGGTTGTCTGTCTTGGGTTCACTTCTGCCCAAAGCCTGTAGTCCTGGGCAGGGGTCTTGATTGTTAGGCTACAAATCACTCAGATGTTCACAGGTCACAACACTGAGCTTATACATGGCCTCTCTCCTCTCTGCTACCTACTGAGGCACATGGGACACAGCAGTCACACCTGTGATGCCTCTAGGGGCCATCTCAGCATCACATTTCATTGTTGTCTGACACAAGATTTCCCTACATAGTTCAGGCTGGCTTGAATGCTAATCCTCCTGTCTCAGTCTCTCAAGTTCTAGCATCTCCACTCTTTAAACAGATAGTCTTTTTACCAAGGCATATATTTTTCATCTTTTGAAATAATCAGGTAGATATAGTATACAGTCTTATTTCTGGGTTCTATATACTCTCTCACTAGTCAGTATTACTAATGAAAGTACAATGGATCAGTGATATAACTTGAGTTCAGGCATATGGTACCTCTAGCATTTCTTCATCCTTTTTTTCTCCTTAAGGTTATTTTGGCTCTTTTTTTTTGGGTGGGGGATGGACTTTTGCTCTTTCTATGAGCTTTGAGATAGCATCTTTAAGTTCTGAGAGAGAAAGCAATTGTAACTTTGATGTGACTGGCACTTTACAAAGAAATACAAAATGCCTTAGCTCTTAGAAAAATAGATAAAAAACTACATTGACAGTCTATCTAATACCAGTCAAAATGACTATTATCAAGAAAACAAGAATGACAGACATTGGCAACAATACAAGAAAAAGGGTATCCTTAAACACTATTGATGTGACTTTAAATTATTATACACACTGTGAAAATCAATATAGAAGATTTAAAAAATAAAATTAAAGGAGGACTGGAGAAAAAGCTCACTGGTTAAGAATTCAGTTTTTTTCGCACCCATCTCAGGTAGCTCATAACCTCTCTCAGTAGCTATAACTTCAGCTCCCGATAGTCAATGCTCTTCTCTAGCCTTTGTATTCATACCTGAACTTCCCACACACACAATAACTAAATTAAAAAATTCTTAAAATGTATCAGAAACTGAAAAAAATGTTTGCAACAAAAATGAATGAAAAAAGAGGTCATGAATTTGAAAGAGAACAAGGAGGTATATATGGAAATGTTCAAATGGGGGAAATAGAAAAGGGAAAAGATGTAGTTATGTCATAATCTGAAAACCACCAGGTGGGTGCTAGGAAATAATCCTGGATCCTCTACAAGAACAGCTGATCTTAACTGCTGAGCCATCTCTTCAGCCTGATCAGTGCAATCTTTAAGTTGTGTTCCTCACTAGAGATAAGAAATAAGATTATAATTCATGCAAAACTCTCTTGTTGTCCACATATAATTTTTCTCATGGATTAATTTGCTAGAATGGGTTTTAGATTTTTTAACTAATTGCATTCTTTAAAGTGTTTTGAATTTAAAATCAAACAATTAGGAGAACAAATTATTTAAGCTTGATAACAGTAATAATTCTTAAGATACTCATAAAGTGGATTATACAAACAGAAAATGTAGAGAGTCAGAAATAAAGGGCCACGGAAAGAGGTCCATTGTTCACATCAGAAAGAACACAAAAACATTAGTAAGTCCAGTAATTCAGCTCTTAACAAGGTAATTATGGCATTGACAAGCTAAATGAGAATTCAGAATATAAGAGACACTGGGAAAATTTCCCACTAGATTCTCAAAATTGCCAAAAACTTCTGCATGCCAATTCCAGTAATTAAATGAGGCAAGGTTCATGGAGAATATTCAAAGGATTTCAGCATAAGATGCTATAATCAATGAAGACTTTAACAAATTGATAGCAATTTTCTCAGAGAAGACATGGCATAAAATGTAAGGTCATCAAGTTGTCAGAAATGAAGTCCTCTATCAAAATGAAACTTTTTTTTCTTTTTAAAATAAATTAGTTTCATACGATGTATTTTAATCATGTTCAATTCCTTTCACTCTTTCCAGATCCACCCCCTTCCCTACCGGTTTATCTTTTTGTCTTATTTTCGGTAACTTTCAAGACCAATTTGTGCTTCCCAAATCTGTGGACTTCCACTAGAGAATGGTCAACTTCCCAGAGCTATGCTCAGAGAAAACTGTCTTTCCTTCTCCCAGAAGCTAACAATTGCCAGTATGTTCAAGGCTAGGTCTGGGATTGTGTTCCTGAATCCTCTCCTCATTGAGATTTAGTTTGGTTGCGGCTGGAACAGGTTTTGAACATGTTGTAACTGCGGTGAGCTCCTATGCACAGCTGTCCTGCAGTGTCCAGAAAATAATGTTTCCTTGGCATCGTCCACCATCTCTGGCTCTTACACTCTTTCTGCTCCCTCATCCACGATGATCCCTGATAATCGGGTGGAAGAGGTGTGTGGTATCACGTTCTCTGTAGGGCTGAGAATCCTGTCCTTTCTTATTCTCTGCACATTGACCAGTCATATGGATTGCTGTGTTATCACCGTCTATTGAGAATAGGAGTGTCTCAAATGAAAGTTGAGAAATATGTTGATGTATGGCTGTAATGTAAAGTTTCTTCTTTAGACAGTCAAAATGAAACACCTTTATAATGGATTTCAGAGCCAAACACATATGGAGTAAAACCCTGGCTTTATTAGTAAGTGCTTGACTTTGGGGCACTAAATTGATGTTTCCTAGTCACTTCATATGTAAAATAGGAATAAAATATAAATTCATGGATCACTGTAAAACATAATAAGTGAGAGAGTGCAAATGTAAGTAAAATATCTAGCAAATTACCAGCTAGAGAAGAATAAAGCAAAACAATTAAAGGAAATGATATAGAAGAGACACACTTGTAAAGCTTGATGATGGCATTGACATTCTATGATATTTCTTCATTGTGATTGAGAAGCTACTTCTGAATCTTTACTGCATGAGTTTAGATCCTTGCTCCATCAATTCATGGTGTGTGGCCATCAGCCAGTTGAAATTCTTTCACCTTTCTTATCCGTTAAACTGGGATTGTCTTTACAAATTACATGGAGATTGTATTAGCTAACATGAAAAATATTTATAATTGTTCCAAGGATTATTCTTCATTTGTTTAATACTTAATGTTATGCACAGGGTCTGGCTACAGAGACAGGCTGGATATGTCTGCTTATGTACCGGTATGACAGTCACATGCCACCATACTTAGCTCCAGAGACTATTTTTTTTATTTTTCTTGCCCTCCCTTTTCCTTTATAACAGTATGCCTATATCATCTTTTACTACTTAGTCATGTTTGTACACTTACACACAATTCAAAGAAAATATTTTATAATCTGATTTCTAATTGTTGATGTGGAATCACTGAAAATCATCAGTCATTAATGATTTATTCAACACAGACAGTCTTTCTGTCTTTCCTTCCATTTAACACTTTCCAATAACCTGGGCTTGACAACCTTTGTCTAAAATTTGTTTTTGTGGGGAATGTAGTTATAATCACCACCACTACCTTCATAATCAGTATAACAAAATACGTACACTTATTATGCTCTGAATGTTGTACTAGGTTAAAAAATTGTATGTGTTTATCCAGCTATGTATGGTGGATTTAGCATTTAAAAGCTCTTTGTTCAGGGGCCAAGATTTCACATAATGTCATGTTATCATTGTTAAGAAACTTAGTAAGTAGTATAAAGTATCATGAAGTGCTTCATTATTTTCATTTCATTGATTTCAGAATCCTCTTATCATGATAAATTCTTGTCCTAAATAAATGCATTGATTTTGGCAATAAATGCTAACTAGGAGAAAGGGTTCATCAAAAAAGGGAACAAGTCTTAGATCTACATATTTCTCAAGTGAAAGTTGTTTTTTTTTTTTTTTAAGAATGCACATGTTCTAGGAAATACTGGATTCACAATAAACATAAAATTATGGTCACCAAAAAATCTGAGCAGAGGGGTCTTTCCTGAGACTGATACTCCAACCAAGGACTATGCACAGAGTAACCTAAGACCCCTACACAGATGTAGCCCATGGCAGTTCAGTATCCAAGTGGGTTCCATTGTAATAGGAACAGGGACTGTCTCTGACATGAACTGATTGGCCTGCTCTTTAATTACCTCTCCCTGAGGGGGGAGCAGCCTTACCAGGCCACAGAAGAAGACAATGCAGCCACTCCTGATGAAACCTAATTGACTAGGATCAGAAGGAAGGAAAAGAAGACCTTCCCTATCAGTGGACTTGGGGAGGGGCATGCATGCAGAGGATGGAGGAAGGGAGGGATTGGGATTATATATAATAATATAATCCTATATTATATATTCTATATATGTAATATAATATATATTTATATCCTATATATATTATATAGAACATACTTACACAGATTTAGGTTAATATCTCATATATATATATATAGTCTATTTTTAGACAGAGTTCATGAAATTATGGACATAGCTATGTCTTATATTGAAAAACCAGGGAATTTCACTTTTTTATAAGTTTTTTTCCTTCTCATTAAATGTGGGGAGAGCAGAACTGATCAACGATTCTTAAACCGGGTTGAATTTCCAAGTCACCTGGCATCCTTCTATGCACAAAAGTCTGAGTGTTGGCTAAGGTTACAGGAAGCATTATCTGGGGGTAGAGCCCAGGTCCATGTTTATTTGTTCCTGTAGGCTTTGGTAGCTCCAGTGAGTTAATAATTCTATCTCAGAAACCTATAACGAAATGTCTTCACAAATCCCCTTCTTCCTAATATTTCAGCTTAGAGGTTAATTGGCTCGAAATGGGACCAGAACTGCATTCTTTCTCAGAAAGAATTGGAAATGGGATGGCAGAAGGGCTTCCAATTTGTAACAGGGCCTTTCTTCAAGTCTTACTTAATATGCCAGTCAGTTGGGGTCTAAGGAGGCCCACGGTGCTCAAAGCACAGGTGCTCTCATGGCCCCTTTCTACACAACACACCCAGTGTTCCCATCACTCTGTTTACTACTGTGATTTTTCCCTCCTTTAATCTTTAGCAACGTTACAATTTTTTCAGTGTCAGGAAGAGCTCATGATTTCAGCTACCAGCAAAACAAACGTTATTGAGGTTTTGTTTGATAAAGCTTTAGAAAAACATGTTACCTTTATGCAGAGATCTTTGCTTTTGAATCACAGTATGCCTTGTCTTTCGTTTGCAGGTGAATATTACAAAAGAAACAAAAGGATAATTTGTGTCCTCATCACATG